AGTCACCGTTGGGTCCTTTTTTATCGAATCAATTGTTGAAATTTATGTTTCTGTCTTTAGCAAGCAACGATGAAATGTTTAAATTTTTATAAAATGATTTTTATTTGGTTAAATATTAGCATAGCCTAAGAATAAAATTGGTAACTTTCATACAACCTCGCCTTAAATAGAAGTTATTCAAAATTGAATATCATCATCATCATCATCATCAGCAATTTTACGTCCCCACTGCAGGGGCTCAGGCTTTTCTTATGGATGGTTAAGGAGGATGGGCCATGACCCTCCACGCTAGCCCAATGCGGATTGGAGGGTATTAACGACTGCAAATGCAGCAGGTACAACGACGTAACGTACCTTCCGAAGCACGAGATTATAATTTTTTGGTCACCCATCCCGTGACCGACCCTTGCGAAAGTTGCTTAACGACAACGATCGCGGGCCGCGGCGCTTATCCACTATGCTACCGAGCTATTCCAAAATTGAACAATCAGCTCTAAATGTCTCCGATAACTACTCGAAATGGCAAAGTTCAAATCCACGACTGTTAGAATATGTAACACGGTGCAATACACAAGAGTTGTTTAGCGTATCCGGCAGGAAATGAGTTGAGTGGTCCGACGATACGAGTTTTGGAGTTAGTCCAACCACAAGCTCAATGTTCTACGAGGATTTACAGATATTTAATAATAGTTTTATAATAATAAGAATTAAAGTAGCTCGGTGGCGTAGTGGATAAGCGCCGCGGCCAGCGATCGTTGTTGTTAAGCAACTTTCGCAAGGGTCGGTCACGGGATAGGTGACCAAAAAATTATCATCTCGAACTACTTCGTGCTTCGGAAGGCACGTTAAGCCGTTGGTCCCGGCTGCATTTGCAGTCGTTAATACCCTCCAATCCGCATTGGGCCAGCGTGGAAGGTCATGGCCCATCCTCCTTAACCATCCATAAGGAAGGCCTGAGCCCCTGCAATGGGGACGTAAAAGGGCTGATGATGATGATGATGATGAATAAGAATTTATTCGAGTTTATCAGTATTCTATTATCACCAGCCCATTAATGTCCAGAGGACTCGAATCAATATGATTTTGAAGAATGGACCATGCATGAGCCATCACACGGCTCAGTGCGAATTGGTGGTTTAACGACTGCAAATACAACCGGGACCAACATCTTAACATACCTTTCGAGATGATACATTTTTGCTCACCCATCTTACGATCGACCCTTGCGAAAGTTGCTTAAAACCTGAGCGCGCTAACCTTTGCGCCATCGAGCTCTTCAGTATTAAGCTTCAGTATTTTATATTGGTAACTTCTCTTTTTGCAGCTCTGGTACCAAATTCAATCAAACACAAAATGTATAAATGAGGTTTTATAGATTTTTAAGCATTTTGTATTAAGAATAATTTTCAGTATAGCATTGTGAATGGGAAATTAATCAAATATAATAATCAGGTTATACAGTCAAGGGGGTTCTAAATGTTACATATTTTGATATAAGTGATGGATTTGAGAATTATGTAGATAATTTAAACTTATATTATAAAGTAAAAGTAGATAAAAAGTCGGATGTTTCTCAGCCTTATATGATCACCTACCTGATTGTCCGACGATCTAAAATTGACTCCGAGGTCATTCTGACTGAGGATAGCAGAAAATAAAACTGTATGGGAAGAGATTGGAGAGGCGTATGCCCAACGATTGGCGAGTGTTGTCGCCCACCGTTGATTGCATGAAAATCGAAGATGCGACCTATTTTCATGATGATCATAATAATTATAGTTTTCCTATCTAAGAAAGACGTGATTGTCGAAATTCTCAAAACTAAAAAGTTTTTATTTTTAGATTTGATTAAATTCAACAGTCAGTACTATTCTCGTTATTCGATTTACGTTATGGGTCCAAAATGGCTAGGACCAGTTTACTGTACATTGTAACTTTTTCTTTTTTTATATGCTCCAAATATATCTTACCCTTTTTATTTATTTACATTTGTATAGTCGAAGAAATTAATGTGAAAATGAAATAAAACAACATTATCCAATTTTCTTTTTCATTACAAAATGTCACGTAAAATCCATAAATAAGTAGAAAAAAATATTATGGCACATTTTTATAATAAAAATCCGATGAACTTAATTTTAATACTTTACATAGATTAAATATAAACCAACTTAAAACGACGACTTATTAAAATAAATTACAACAATTTAATATGTATTAACTAAATACTTATAGACTTAAACTTTGTTTATAGTTTAAGAAATTTCTAGATTAATTTTAATTCAATTATTTTAATAATACCACTTAAAAAGTCCATACTTTTAATGTAAATTGGTAAATTTCAAATGACTGGTACTTCATAATGTCTGATCGCTGAAACTTATACTGATAAAGTGGAAGGATTTAAATGCCGAAAGTAGCCAATACACATCTTTTAAGTTCAGACTGATTATTATTATACTGCAATTGAAACTGATGAACGTCTATTAAAAGTATTGTAGTTGTCAAAGAACTGATATGAACTGTTTCTAAAAAATAATTTTGTCATCAAAAGATTTGAGATGAACTGATGAGAGTCTATAAAAGAGTTATTAATCCTTCAAAAGATTCATCAATATACATTAAATACTTTCTATGTTCCACGTGGATCCTTAATTTAGATATTTGGACTGAGGAGCCAGTTTTACATTGATATAACTCAAAATTATTTAATTCCCTACTAAATAAAGGGGTAAATTTATTTTTAAAATCTGATACCGATACGATCATATCGGTTCTATTTCTGTATGGATCGAGGAGGCAATTCATATTTAAAAAGAAATGAGCAGCTATGAAAAGTGTTGTACACTGTTTTGGAGGTACTTCTATACCATTTTTTAGTCTTACATTAGATTTAAATATTTCATGTAAATAGTTGGTTTTAATATGTCATCATTTAATATTATCGCTCATCACAAATTTCCTTTCACTAGCTTGTACTTTTGTAAATATAAAATGAATTTTAATTAAAGTATACAATTAAAAAAATATGTTTATATATTTTTTTTATTAAATGTGTATATCTTAATTAATTTTATATTTAATTTCGACCAACTTCATTTAAACAATATCTAATTTAAACCAACCGTGTGTTGAGTTATACAATAAATTTTAAGCCTTATTCTATTAACAGTTCAACTCAAAGTTTGCGAAAATTTTATGATAAGAAAACGAACTAAATAGTAATAATTTATTAAATATTTACATCGACAATATCACTCATAGAAATTATTAGCATTTAAGACTATTTTTTTTAAATATTAGTAAATGTAATTTTATGGCATAATTTTTTTTAAATAAATTTTATGTGTTTTATAAGTTATTTGCTATATACTTAATTATAAGTTATATAAAGCTAAATAGCCCAGTTAATATTATTAATGAGGTAGTAAAATAAATATCTAATGCAGATACAACTATTAGTTAAAAATGATGTAAATGTACGTTTCATAGTAAATCCAAAATTAAAATGTGATAAATCAAGTACAAGATTAATATATTTTTACACTACAACATTTTTACAGTATTTAGTATTTAGTATTTTTATAAAAATTATTACTTAATATATTTATATTACTATCTAATTTTAGATTGGATTAATCCATTACCCAGGCCTAGCCATAACCCACTACGTAGGCTAAGCTATATCTTATTATATGGTTCTGGAACTAATCACCATTTGATACAAAACTTTATGTAAATATTACACTCGTGTCTCATTAATAAAAACAAATAAAAATCTCATGCATGCAAAGATTGTTCCCATTTTCTATTACTCTTTTGTTTCAGATCCTTAATCTACTTAAGCTGAGAGAACGTGTGCTGAAACGACTAATATGATGCCGGTATTATTATATATTATACAGAGTTCATTCTAAAACACCAACAACTTCGCAAGACTAGATAGCACAATATAAAAAACAAAGTTATGTACGAATTTCACCATTACTCAATATTTAGAACAAATAATTTTCTTTAAATTTTATTGTGCTATTGTGACATTTTCAACGTCTTTGTTTTATTTATAAATAAAATAACGACGACGCTACACTCGTGCGCTCTATGAAACAACTACATGTTAAGGCGTGTATCCACATTGCGCGATTGCCGCGTGCGATCAACGCCTGCTTTGTTAGCGGGTGATGGTGATGAAGAGGCGTTCTTGAACTCATTTATGATATTAAAGATGCTTAAAAAATAGGCGTGATAGCTCTTGTTGGCCGTAGATGATAATTTGAGCGCACTGCTAGACAATACTGCTGAAACGAGCATCCGTAGACGCAAATTGACCGCACACACAGGCTGCCTTACGACTACTGTTCAATCGTAAAAAGCATTTTCGCAACTAGATGCATGTATAGTTATTTATATTCAAACGGTTTTTTAATTGAATATCTATTATTATATTAAAGCAAAATATAAGGAGTCATCAAAAGTCATCGAAAAAGCGCTGTTACTTATGATATTACCTATTAATGCTGCAATATTGTTAGTGTATAACAAGTAACCCTGTATATTATTAGGCTATATACTTACATTATATTGAATAAAGTGAAAAGAAAATGTCTCATATATATATGTAACTGCAATCAAAATATCTTCTTAACCAAGTAGCTGAACTTAGAGCTTACTTTTAAAACAAGAAATATATGATTAAATTATCCCTATTGCAATTCCAAATGATTGGCATTAATTTGAGACATGAGATTAATTTATGAACTGTTTTTTTACTTTTACTAATAAAGTTTTCCATTTGATATGGGAATCAGTTAAGAACCATGCCTCACAAGCAGAAAAAGATGGAGCCGTCCATTCTCAGTATTTTCGTTTCGTCGTCTGCTGTTGAGGTAGAGACCTCACATACGAGTATCTCCACTTGGTAAACTCTGTCTTTATTTCATAAATAGGTACTGCCAATTGTTCCTACTGATGTCCTTTTCCATAAACTTCTTAAATAAGCATTAATGTTGCGTTTGCCGAATACTGTATTGTCTTCGTTCTGCATTGGAGTGCGGTCGCCTTAATAAGTTGTTTCTGTTAATGAAAAAATATATAATTTCTAATCATTGAAAGATAACTGTACGAATTTCCGATGCTTAGAAGTGTTAATTTTTCATTTCTTTTTATTTTAAAGCCTGCCTTGTGTTGATACAAAGCATGGCTTTTATGTTACGATAGTGTAAGTTTCAGTACAACTTGCCTTTCATTTCTTCTAGATGAATATTTTGCCACATAATGATCCGTGAATCCAACGCAGAGCACTATCAGTTTTGTATTGCAAGAAAATCTGCAACATGAATTTTTTTTTATTGATTGTTTTCAATTGATCGTTCGAACAAATCAAATCAAAATAATTCATTCAATCTAGGTTTATAGCATTTGTGGAAATCGAAACTCTATGCCACCCATTCGTAAATTTACGAAAGGAGTCCTTGTACTGAGAAAAATTAGCAAGATTTTCTGCAAGGGTTGCTTTTTCCTTATCAGATATCTTCTTCATATTCAGATTCAGATTCACCACCAACCAGATTTAGGATAAAATGTGTGACATTACCAACCTCTCTTGTCCTAATAGCATTTTGGTGGCTAAAGAAGATCCAATGCCAAAGCGACCATGGTTGTCAGTCTCCCATTTATCGCAAAAACCGTCTGGCGTGACGTCACCAGTGACAGTACTGCCATGCCATACCGATTTCAGTGGCCTAAAAAGATGATACGATTCGCCATTATACCAAACCAGATGCAGAATTCTAGTTCGCAAGATGCAGAATTAAAGATTAAAATTTATTTTGAAAATAACTGGTTTATATTTTGTGTATTTAATTTTAACTTGGTTTGAACATTTGTTCTAAAGCAAATCAACTGTGACAAACAGACGAACAGGCACGCGACTGAATTTATAAAGGTTTTAAAGTCAATTCAAAACACTTTTTACCATATTCATTGTTACTGAGAGGACGAATGGTTTTTTTAACATGTCAGAATCAACATATTACTGAAATTTTATGTAAACATATTTACATGTACCTACACGGTGTTTTTTCTTAATCTCATTGAGAACGCCACTCATTCTTGTCGACAAGAATATTTTAAATAATTTTCCTCATTTACAAATTCTATCTGTTTGTTCTTTGGGCATAAACAAGATTAAAAGGAAAATTATGAGACGTAACAAAATATTTGAAACGAGATATCGTAAAGAATTTTTCATAAATAATCTTACCTGACACCTACCTTTGAATACAACGATATCTCTCACAAAAGCTAAATAAAAATAAATTTGACATTGAATTCAAAGTTAAGAGATACGATTTGAAAGATCCATTCTCTTTGAGTTTAGCTCTGATACTTTGAAAATGATTTCGAAGTATAAGCAACAAAGTTTTTCGTAATGGCATAGATAATGGTTTCATTATTATAGATTTTCGTCAACTGATGAATTTTAATATCCAATTGTAGTTACTGCATAAAAAAGTTTATTTCAATGAATTAAAACACAAACTGTAGTTTTAAGTTAGTTTAGTTCCAATAAGTTTTGTAATGACACCTCACGACTCCATTCTCTTATAATTAACAACTTATTATGGACGTCTGTAGAAGTGTGAAATAAAGTGTTATTTATTTGAAATTATGTGAAATAGTCTCCAGTGTCTCTTAGAAGCGACGTTTATCTAATCTAACCTTAGCTTAAAGAGATTTTTATGTTAAAGTTTCTAGAGTTCCGTACCTACAGGGTAAAAAAGGAACCTAATTACTTAAACTTCGCTATAAGTCTGTTTGTCTATTACCAGATGTCTATTTACTTATGAAATGTGATAGCTAGACAGTTGAAATTTTCAAAAATGATATACTATTTTATACCACTTTAAAAAACACTTTTCAGACGCGCATGAAATGGTTGAAAAATTTCTACACCGAATTCAAATTAAGATAAAAGCAGCTAATCTGTTTTAGTTTGAAGGCGTCCCAATTGGCTCCGAAACTCATACGAGCAAACAATGCGGCTTCGTTGTGTAATGAAAATTAATCCAGGATGATCTACGTCGGGTTCCAAAATAATTTTCTAACTTTAATGGACTTTGAACAAAAAAAAATTAAAATAAGTAATAATAAAAACCGGTCAAATGCGAGTCAGACTGGTACACGAAGAAGTTCTGTATCGGAAACTAGCAAAATAATCTCATTTGTTGTATTGTTTTAGTAAATATTAGTTATTATAGCAAAAGAAATACATAATCTGTGAAAATTTCAACTCTCTAACTATCTCGGTTCATCAGATACAACATGATGACAGATAAATGAAGGGACAGACAGCGTCGTTTTACTAATAAGGTTCTTGTTTTACCCTTAGTGTTTTTTAGGGTGGGCAACCTTAAAAATGTGGGCACTAAATCATCTGTGTCATCATGAAATTAATAATTTCGGTTAAAGTTAATGATAAGAGACCAATTTACCAATTTACTAATTGGTCTTTATTTAAGATATTTAGCTTCGATTGCATTATTCTATATAAAAGCATCGTAAGCTTACGTAATGATAATGCATAAACTTCAAAAAGGACATTTTGAAGCGTCTTTCTGTCTAAAGAGACAGAGAGTAAGAAATCGCATCGTTCACTAATTAGGCCAATGGCGACGTCTTAACGTTTCCTTGTCATCCTACGTAGCTGAGTGGTTCGGACGGCAGTTTGAACGTGTCATCATCTCTGGAACCGCGATTTCAAAACCAGATTCAATTCCCGGTCGGGTCAATGATTATAAAATATCTTTTATGTATTGACACGAGTTTGAGTGTTGTACTACTTTCGTTGAATGATTTGAGAAATGGAAGTGATGCTGTCAAAATATTTATTTATTATTTTATTACTGGTCGATTAAAGAAAATGAAAAGATTATAAAAAAAAATTACTCACCAAGTGCCATTTTCTTTCATAATATTCTTTCCGTTGAAACTAAACAAAATATTCTCATTTGCTCTAACGAATGGTGCTCCTGAACCACTGAAGATGCTTCCCCAAGAATCGAACAGTAATTGGCCAAACGAATTCGTTACTGGGAGATGATCGTAATTTTTAGGCCAAATATGTCGGAGGTTAAGTGTGCTGAAATAAATAAACACAAGTTAATGAAAAAATATATGAAAACAGAATGAAATAAGCATTTTCGAATTAAGAAGTAGAGAAAACGCTATTATTCTTAATGATATTTCAAGATAAAAACACGATTAGTTCGTGAAATTATGAACTCTCAATTTTCACTTAAGTCACAGATGCTCATATTTTAGTTGAAACTTCTTATTAGAAACACTTTAATAATCGTAAGTTTTGTAACGGTTTATATTTTATAAAACGTATACATTTATAATTACTATAAAATTTGTTCTCCGAAGATTGACAAACCAATTATTTTCTATATAGATAAACGGCGACGGGCTTGACAACATGTCTTGCTCGAAGCTATTGTTCTCGGCGTCGCAGGCGCAATCCACTTTTATGAAAGGTACAAAACCTGTGAACGCGCTCCTTTTGACACATTTCAACCGAAGGCAGCGTAACATCAACATGTAGTCCTTCAATATTCTAGTAGCCGCGAATGTAAAATTAATGTTGTAATAATTATATATTTTTTTATTAACTTAATCGAAGTGATATCCCCGTATTGGGGTTCCTTCCCACCCCTGGGAAGCTTTAAGATGATCATCAATTTTACCTAACATCTAGGTGCTAAAGCGCTGGCTTCGGACCCATCTCATGGCCTAAACCACTAGACCTCTTCGGCCGTACATCTCGCCGGAGCACTACCAGGACAGTGGATAACCGAAACCTAGCTATTGCGAACGGTTGACTAGGGCCATATAAAATTGTACCTAACCTATATACTGATCCACGTTGCAAGCTTCCCGTCGAACCCTAACCCTGAGATCTCATGTCTCCCTACTTTTGGGTAGTAAACGTTTATTATAAAAAAATATTTGTTTTATTACCCATCTGCTAACGCTCTTACAGGTCCTAAACCCATCAATAATAAACTCTTTTTTTTAAGCGTTACAGTTTATTTTGTATTTTTTTAATCGAAATCTGTCTAATATTTATATTTAATTTTAAATAAGTTTAAATTATTTTATTTAATTATAATTATAAATATTTTTATTTAATTTTATTTTGCACCAACTGTTTTTCCAAGAATTCGCCCCCGTCTGTAAATTATAGCTTATGACGTCTGTTTATGATGTATACGTTCACATTAGTGTTTTTTTTTTATTGTATCGATAGTTTCAGATTCTATTTGATGCTTATAAACTACGAACAATGTAATCTTTCCTCTTCGTGATGTCTGATGTGATATCTTCGTCATTTGTAAATACTTGATTTTTTAGAAAATATGTGTGATTTATTCTAAACACTTCTATAGTTAGACTCTGATAAATATTTTACATATTTACAGTACTCACTCCATCGTCAGGAATGCTCTGAAATTACCACCGATACTCCTGGATTGCCGGTGACACTGTCGATTAGCGGCATTCCAACCGACGCGGTCACCCAACAGCATGCGACCAGAGTACGGCTCGTTGAGAGCGATCATACTAATCTGCGAGAAAAAAAAACATAATTATTATATTTAATCAATTTTGCACACATAATGTCAGAAGTGGATTTATTAAATATTTTTCATTAAGAATATTTTTTGGTATAGCAAATATTACAATTAGAATAAGTTTTCATCTTTGCCGAAAGTTTATATATTTGTAAAAATATTTCTTTCGGCTGTTTGGGTGGACTGCCTGAACAATGATGAGAATACGTTTTGTAGTAGCGAAAAAATAATAAGTGCTTGAAAAATTCGTTAGTTCTGTTAGGTCCTGGGTAGCTGAGTTTTAATGGCTAAACTCCTGCTTCTTGTCTAGCCTCTTCGGGGGTGGGGCTGCAGGAAGAGTCCCACATAACCCGTGGAGCCCGCGCTGGGTGAAGCGGAAAATCATCATCATCAGCCCTTTTACCTTCCTACTGAAGGGGCTCAGGCCAAGACCCTCAACGCTGGCCCAATGCGGGTTGGAGGGTATAAACGGCTGCTAATGCAGCCGAGAACAACTGCTTTACGTGTCTCCCGAAACACGGAGTAGCTCGAAATTAATAATTTTTTCGTCACCGACCTAATCTCGTGATCGACCCTAGCATAAGTTGCTTAACGACAATGATCGCGGAACGCGGCGTTTATATACTGCGCCACCAAGTTACTCATCAAAAAATATTATCTTAAAAACAAAATGTAACATCATCATGGCATGGCATTTTCGACCGCCGATCGAGTAGCGCGTATTGTTAGAAATTGATAATAGTGGGAAGAGAGTATGGCGTTCCGATAGTTATGTTTTAGTTGTTTTTAATGACAACTATCGAACTTTATATTGGTACCTATGTATCATAATTTAGAAGATTTAAAACAGCGTTCAAATTTTAATATGAATAAAGAAAATTTTTCTTTTTAAACATTTTCTTTCAAATAAGAATATAATCTTTTATAGGTTATTATATGAAGGTGATATTGTTATGAGGATAAAATATCTAAAGCTTCACATCCAATTAAATTAAAAAGAACCTTTTCATGTTAAATATGTGAAACTCTTGTTTGGAGTCGCCTAGAGCGCGTACGTTTGAAGAGATTCATTTATATTATTATTAAATGAATACGAAAATGTTACCCGTTAATAATAATGAAAATTATGTAAACTTATAGCTGAGAAAAAAGAAAATTAACATATATTATTTGTGTCTCATAAGTTATAATAGCTTAATGCAGTCATAGTAGTTCAGATCATCTTATTGATTTAATATTGATATTAAGCGCAACCGCTCAGTTTTTACTTACAAGCTTACCGTCAGCGACTTCGCTCGTGTAATTTTCCCGTTTTGCAATATTTTTCATTGTTGCTTTACTCCGATCACTAATAACTTCACTTTATATAGTAAAAATATTTTTTGAATTCCAACCAGTAGTTCCTGAGATTAACGCTTTTAAATAAACAATCAAACTCTTCAGCTATATAATCTATACCTTTACTTACATAATATTATAAAGAGGAAAGATTCTTTCACCCACGGGAAGCTACATTATATACGGTGAATATAGCTTTGTTTTATCCCGAAAAACAACATATAAAGGGATGAAAATGGGAGTAGGTGTTTGTATAGGGAATTAAAACGTTTCCAGTCATTGTTTCATCATTGTTTTCTATTTAATTTGTCATTGCAATTATATCCATGTCAGTATATGAATCGATATCCGAATAAACAGTTCCTTATGGACCACGTGGGTGAAGCCGCTGGCGGAAAGCTAGTAATATATAACTATGGATTAGGCATGTAGAGAAAACTATCAGCCTTCGTGCAGTCAGTATCATTTAACACCAATCGTATTTATTGCTAAGTTAGGTAGTGACCAATGCCAACTCAGTCTTGTTAGTAATATTAAAAAAAAAATACTGTATACGAATCTAAATGTAATGAAACTTATTCCGCTTAATTCCGCTCATATGTTTTAAACAAAAAGTGACAAAAATCTTTGTTTGAACCGATGTTTTATTCACTAGAATATCATGTTAGTTTACTTGTCATGTATACTATAATATTAACCAAATGTGATAAAAACATTATTTTTAATTTCTCAAACAATTAAAAAAATCTGCATAATGCTACTTAATTTTACTTATCGAGCATTCTTGAAATTCAAGTGGAATGTCAGTGAAGATATTTGAATTAAATCAAATTTATCCCAAAATCTTCAAGGGGAGTTACAGTTTTCTACATAACAATACGGTACTTTTACTTATCATTCATACCAATGATATTGCAATAAAAAGGGTAGATAGGTCATGTCAGTACTAATACAATGTCAAAAATTGTCCCCAGCAATTGCACATGGCACGATACTTTAATACTCTCCATTTATTCATAGACTATAGTTAAACATGTCACAGACCAGATGTATAATTATTGAATTCAGGTTGCTGCCTACTTTTACCTAAACGAGTTAAAGATTTCGATCAACAGTTCAATTTAAAAATATTGATATCTAACATTATTATTTCTCCTCGTGTATAAATAATGAAGCTTTTCAAGCGATAAAATAAACCTGAACCTTATATATAATATCACGAGGGTTTCGATCGAAATCGGAATCGGAGTATTTTTTTAAGCTCCGGAATTGGATTTCGATGCTTCGAATTCAAATAACGAAGTTTCGGAGTTTCAGTCTCATATAGATTTTCAAATAAATATAAATAAAGAGTCTAGGTACTGAAATCAAATGTCCGTGCTGTTACTTACACAATCTTTGACAAATCCTTTTCACAATTTTTAACTGGAGTATTATTTCTTTTTTTTTTTATTAAAATGAAAATCAATTAAAAATTTATACTTACGAATGAAAAATTTTACCCCTTGGACTTAAGATGACTTACTTATGTTGTTTCTACAGTTTCGCATAACACAGGATAGCATTTTTAAAATGATTATGGTACCTATACGCACACAATCAACTCTTTAGCCAAAGTACGCGTAGATATGCCAATTAGCGTAGTTTTAAGGAATTTATGTAACATATCTACCCTTTTTTATTGTTATATCATTGATTCATACCTATTACGATTCAAGCCAATTGTGACAAATTTATTTTGACAAATCCTTGTCACAATTATCTGGTAAGTTGATGTTTTTTTTATAAGAATATGATATATTTAACATGCATGCTATGATGAAATCAAATGTGACGAAACTTGTTTTCCTTTCCATTCCTTTTACAATTACCAAATGAGTTTTTTGAAGCTTTATTTATCATGCATTGGGTAAAATACACTTTTATTTCATTCTTAAATACTCAACTCTTTGACTATGTGGTATAGGTGTCAAGGAAGAAGACTCTGTAGTAGACGCCATCTGTTTAAGCCCATAGGAAACTTTGTCAATACTTATATATTAATTGATTCGATATTTAAATCCCAATTCGATATTTAAATCCGATATTACAAATTTATCAACATTTTTTCTTCCAAAAGTACACGTAAAGAACACTGTAAAGATGATTTGCATAGAAATATCTTGTTTTCTAAAAATATGAGAACGCTCTAAATATTTCTTATAATGTTTAAATACTCTCAGAAGACGTCATAGATAATAAAATGATACAAATACTTTATGAAAACCGTGATATATTGAATTTTAAAGCTTTTGATTTGGTTTATAAAAAAATACCCAGATATACTCTTAATAGATTTTACTTACATATCGATCACTATGAGGTCTCGATGTTGAAGGAACATTTAAAGGTGAAACCGTCTGGAACAAACAGTTTTTATGAAATTACCATTCGCCGTAATGAAAACAGTTTAATTAGGAAAAGTACACTTTAGTAAAGTACATTTAAGCTGATCACTAAATTTGCTTTATGAAATATTAATAATTATGTTTACATTATGAAAATTGGTGTAAAAAATTATGTTTTTTAGATAAAAATATAGTTTCCTGTCATGTGAAATTTTTATTTTCTGATTCAGTTCTATTCTCTCTTTTGGTTTCCTCAAAATAGTGCCATACCGTCTTATTATAAAATGACGGCTAAATTGGAACTTAGTTGCAACCATCGGTGGCCTTATGCAGTCCGTTGTTTAATCTCAGTCCTCGTTTTATAATAATATTATCCCTTCTGTAGTGGGAGAAAAAAAAGGTTCGTCACCATAAAGTCGAATGTAGCTTACAGCAGTTCAATAATCTGTACCTATTGAACCAAAAAGTTTGTCATGATTTACCCTGAACTACTATAATTATTATACAAATCTAAACCCTAACATTAAAGAGTTAAGCATAATGCCCGCGACTTCAAAGGTCGGTTTGAAATTTGACGAACCTTTACATTCCCCTACTGTATTCTAAAATTACAAGCCTCTTTATTTAGATAAATGATTGGGAAGTAGATTATACTCACATGTGGTGAATTGTATTGCGGATATCTTCTAGTAGTTGTGGTCGTGTATGTTTCGGGTATAGGCCGATGGGGTACAATATTAATTGAATCTATGATTGCGCCCATCTACAATTATAATTAATACGATTATTTTTCAAACCATACCTGTATTCACAAAATTTGCTATCAATAAATTGTAAGGTGTTTATACTATTTTAATTTCATAGTGTTTTAAATTATCCCGTGAATTTCTTGATATGAAGGTGGCTTTAAAATAATTTTCAAGATTATTATAGCGTAGCTATTTCCCGAAACTTCGCACGCGTAAATTATGGCTTATGTCAACCCCGTATGATATAATCCAGTAGTTGCGAAGCTTATTCAATGCAAATAAACAAACAACTAAATCTTTTCTCTTTATAATATTCGTATGGATATTCCGATTGAAACGAGAATACGGTTATTACAAAAACACTATTATAGTCTATGTTCACTAATTTTAAAAAGGAATTTTATTCTTTCACTTTATGGTGCTATTGAAATTACAGACATATAATTTAGTACGAATTAATTTGGTAACGGCATGATTTTTTTTAACGTTATTAATATTTCTATTAGAGCTGATGAACATCTTACTCGTTCTTCTTCTCAACCAAAAGAAGTCTTGAACGAGTTATAGGAAAAAAATGGGACGATGCCAAACAACTTTTAATAAGTTTATTTTAATAGATATTACTTTGACATTGACTTATTGGAAGTTCTAAATTGATTGCATTTTTTTTATTATTATGCCCTTTCTAACGACGTTCTTAACCAAGTGGCTCGCACGCCGTTTCCAATGTCTAGTTCGGATGATAATAGAAATAATTTTTTGTGTATTATTTCGTGCCTGGGTATTTTATTCGTTGTTTCAAATTTTCATAATACAAGTGCATTAGCTACTTAGTTTTGTATAAGGGCGATTTATGTGATATTAACGATATATATTATGTCTTAAATGAGTCTATTTGCATCTTTTTATTGACTACAATGCTTAATTGGCAAGTTAGATATTATAATTACTTACTGTCACATGTTGCCAGCCTCTATCAATACGTAGAAACAGAGCCCTCTCTTGTAACACATAAGCCAGAGTACCCTCACGAGTAACTGAAGTACGCTGGAAAAACAAATAATTAAAAGGATATATACACAATACTGGATTTTATATTTATTATACTTTATAATTTAATGAAGAAATAAAAATAGAAATCTAAAAGAAATTAGCTAGAGTTTGATGTATTATGTTATACCTAAGTGAAAAACGTAGGTACTAAAAAATTTTTACTTCACTAAAGCAGAATATTAATGCTATAAATTTCCGAAATGTGAAAAAACCTTCTAATTAATATTTATAATTACTGAGTTTTCGAGTGCTATCGAAGAAATCTAGATTTTTTAAAGATTTCAAACAAATTGAAAAGCTAATACAGTAGTTTTCTAACATTAGGTACAACATTTTTGCTATTTACTTTTCTATTTGTTAATCTGTTTAATTAATATTTTCATGTTACCTTTAAAAGTGCGGTTGTTGTTTTATAAATTACAGTAGTTGCCGTCAGACAGTCATCTTCGTCCTCAAGGTTTGCTAAAAAAAAATAGATGTTTATAGATTTTTAAAAAATTATTCAATAATTTTTTATCACTCAATATCAAAAACAGAAACTATTTACGTAATAACCAGTTACTAACGTTTCGTCTCTCCCTTTGTAAATGTTAAAAACGTTTTCTGTGACACGATACCACCCGGTTCACCTTTGGGACCTACTAATGATAAGCCCCTTGGACCGGGTGGTCCAGGTGGACCGGGAGGTCCCGGAGGCCCAGCTGGTCCAGGTAATCCAGGTGGACCAGTAACTGTTTCGCTTTGACAGGTCAAGCAGGTGGCATTCGATCCAGGTGCACCCGATAAGCCTCGTTCACCTCGCGGTCCCGTTTCACCCCTATCGCCTTTATCTCCTTTTAGCTGAAATATCCATTCAACTAAATAACGATTGTTATTTTTATAAAATCAAGACATAAAATTACAGTGTACTAATGTGTATTGATATTAATATTATTGTTAATTTGCTGTCAATGATGTGACTGTCAAAAATTTAAAATCTGCTGAAATATTATTGTAATCAAGTAATTTGAAGGTTTTTTGTATATAAAATTGTTAAATTTAACAATTAATATCATTATTGTTCAAATACTGTAAATTTATGTCAAGGTTTTACATGTCGAGGTAACACACCTTTTTAATGTCAACTGCAGATGCACTGTCACCTTTACTACCCTTTTCACCTTTAGTGCCATTATTTCCCGGTTGTCCAGTTGGCCCCTTCATAAAAATATTTAAAAAAATTGTTAATAATGAATAATAATCTATAAATGGCGTAATAAAAAATATCATACCATTGGACCATGGTGGCCGGTATGTCCCCGATCACCCTTATCACCTTTTATTCCTATCGAACCCTTAGACCCTTTAGGTCCCATATCGCCAGGTGGTCCAGGTTTTCCAGCAGGACCTTCTGGGCCTACAATACCCTTGTAAGAGAGAAAAAATATTTAGAATAAAGCCACAATTTTAATATAGAATTGTTTTATACCGTGCTGGTTTTGTTCCACAATCAATTATTAAAATAATATGTAATTAAATATGAATATATTAGTAACTGAATTACCTTCAGTGCAATTTCGGGCACATTTGCTGGCAAACCTGGTGGACCTCTTTCACCCCGATCCCCTTTTACACCTTTTGGACCTATTGGCCCCGTTTCTCCAGGTGTTCCCATATCACCTTTAGAACCGTGATGTCCATGATGACCATCTCGGCCTGGGATGCCTTGTGCTCCAGGCGGACCTGGGTTTCCTGTACCGCCCTGATGATAAGAAATTGCATGGTAAGTGATATTATAACATAGTATATAAGATTAAAATAATATATTTAAGTACATACCTTTTCTCCACTCGATCCTTTATCACCCTTAGGACCTCTCAATAATTCTACTATTCTAGCATCTGTAAATTTAAAATATCTATAAATTAGTATAAAATGGAATCATTTTATATAATTATATATAGTCGAACAATACAAAAACAGGGACTATTTGATTTATCAGTTGTAATAATACCGATTGCTTATGTATCTCTTAAAATATTGCCACATGGCAACTTATAATAAATGAGAACAATAAAGTGATCGAGCTGAAAGAAATCCCAACATTTTTCGTTCGTCCGAAAAATGACCGAAGCAGCTGCGGTATACAGTTATTTGAGCAAGGATATTTCTAAGGACATGCCCTGTGAGTAGTCAGTGCCTCTCTTTCAATTAACATATTGATGAAAAAGGACAAGCGCACAAATCCGGCGTAAGTCCATTGGATAACACAACGCTGGGTCAGGATAAGGATCAAAGCCAATAGAGCCAATAGCATCAAAAAATGTTTGGGGATTCAATCTTCTTAAGTTATTACTTTCATGTGACTAGAATATATTATTTGATATTGAAATTACTCGACTTATTTGTCTTTTGGGATTACTCTTTCCTAAACAAGCATTAGTTTATATGATTATACTTGATCAATTTTGCATTTATAATGTTATACTAAAAAATAAAATCCTCTTTGTCCCTGGCACTCTGAAATCGGACTCAAACCCATGACCTTCGCAATCCGGATGACAACAGGACTGTCGAATTTTTTAATCACTTGCAAGTTCGTCAGTCCTGTTAGGTTCTGGGTTGCTCTGTGATTAGAGCAGTCGCCCGGATTGCGAAAGGTCATGAGTTCGAGTCCCATCTCAGAGTGCCAGGGACAAAGTGGATTTTTTGAAGCATTTGTCATTAAGAATAATAGATTATGCATTATATAATATTATTTCAAAGCATTCGTAAATCAACCTACTTTCTTCGTCTTTAGAATCGAGAATTGAAGACAGTTTTGCTGGTATGCCAGGCGCACCAGTATCACCTTTTTGGCCAGATTCTCCTGTAAAATGTAATAAACTTTAGTAACATTTCAAAGTTCATTTGAAACTATTTGTATTATTTTGAAATAACGAATTTTCTTATAATCAAGAAAAGTTATTAAAAGTAATTTAACAGCATCATCATCATCAGCCCTTTTACGTCCCCGTTGCAGGGGCTCGGACCTTCCTTATAAATGGTTAAGGAGGATGGGCCATGACCCTCCACGCTAGCCCAATGCGGATTGGAGGATATTAACGACTGTACCTTCCGAAGCACGAAGTAGCTCGAGATAATAATTTTTTATTTACAATTAACTAGAAAAAAAAAATGCAATTTTGATTTGAAAATAAAGTCGTTGAAAAGTGTTTTTCAAAATAAATGTTTTATCTCTATCATTACATCAACTTATTACAATAAGAATAAAGGCAGCTCCAATTAACGAACTAAATTTTTTTTTTTATGTTATGGCTACGTGTTTATATTAATTATTGACACCTGATTATTAAATTAATTCTTAAATTATAAATAACGTAACTATCTATTTTTACTTCTTTTCAATTAATTAATAAAACATACCTTTTTCACCCCTTTCACCATGACGACCATGTTTTCCTGGAGCTCCAGGAGAACCATCCATGCCTTTTAAGCCACGTTCTCCCATTTCTCCTTTTGAGCCTGCTGCACCTACATTTCCCTGCATTATAATACAAGCCATCAGAAAATATAAATATGAGTCCTTTTATTTTATTTTCATTAAATAATGTGTTTTTGTTTAAGCACTAATCATTAACATTCGTTTTGTAATTACTCTTTTACCTTTTCACCTTTTTGTCCTTTTAGTCCTTCGTGTCCTTTTTCGCCTTTCAGTCCTTGAATGCCCTGGATTCCAGGTGTACCTGGTGAACCAACTGATCCCTGATCACCTTTTGGTCCAACTACTGGTATTTCTTTTCTCATTTCTATGCCCTGTCGAAAGAATTTCTGACATTCTATGTTTCTAAATATATCTCATAATACATTTAAGTATTTGCAAAATCAAGAATTAAAATTTAATACATTTTCCTTTAGTTAAGTTTTGCTAATGAAATAAAACTGTTTAATAAAATAATCACCTCAGATATAACCCCTGGCGGTCCTTGAATGCCCCGTGGGCCTGGAGGTCCTTGAATTCCATCTCTCCCCGGTTCACCTTTAGGACCCGGAGATCCATCTGATCCTAAAAGACCATCGCTACCCTTTTCTCCTTTATCTCCTTTGACCCCTTTATGCCCTGGTGGACCTAATTCGCCTCGATCACCTGGTTTTCCCTGAATATAGAAAAATAATGATGATGTTGTAATATTGTTGGATAAAACTTATAATTTTACACATTAATACGACTCTGGCTACAACATTTTTTTTTTATAGTGAAGCTATATTTCCCTCGTATTATTTTTGCAATTAATAAATAATTGTAATAAATTCAACAACTTGACTATGAATGAATTCAGTTAGTTGTTAAATCAAACTCAAGTTTGACAGTAGGTTAATATTTTTTACACCAAGGACACCTCATTTTGTGTATCTATTGGTTATGGCGACCAGTCCCAAAGTCGGTGTAGCAAAAAAATTTAATGTAGATAAATATAGAGACAGAAACTAATTTAAAGTAATAGATAAACAAAATAAAGTCGTAATTGTAAATAGTTTTTAAAAACTTAGGGTGACAAATGACGTCATACTGTAAAGTGAACGAAATTCACCCACAGACTAATAAATTTATGTCAATCGCGTCACAACCGCAAGCTGGTGTTTTCACCTATTTCCGTTGTAATTATGATAGCGTAAGAACGATGTTTTATATTTTATTTTGATAATATATTCTTTTGTATTATTATAATATATGAATAGCCAACCTATTATATATGAATAACTTTTATTTTTTGTGCACATTATATTAATAATCTATTTTTATTCAGATTTTACATCGGTTACGATAAAAGAAAAAAAGAGGAGGATATTGATGTAAAAAAAGCATAGTGTCACTGAAAAATATAATTTGTCGCTTCATTCGGGATCGAAATTTACGAGCTTTTACTGACCTTTCATAGCCAGGAAATTCTTTTCCAGATAAATTATCAGGTAAACAGATAATAAAAATAGTTTATACTATTTTGATTTTATAATTATACTATTATGATTTTATAATCATAATTTATATAGGTATTATTTATTTCAATTATGAACCCTACTTTTTACACCCATTTAAGTCATTGCAGTATCGAAACACAGTGTTTAAGGATTGATTTAAAGGTGTTGTTATATTAAAAATACATTTCCACTTACACGTCATAAGACGTGAAAGGGTAAGTAATATAACCTTTATTTTCCTCATAAGTTGTTTACGCTTTTTGTTAATTACTTTGAATAGATCATATTCAATTTATTTATATTCTCTTAATGCAGTAAACTTACTGTCGGTCCAATAGCTCCAGATTCTCCCTTAGGTCCCCTCATTTCAGGCATAGTCTTTAATAAACTTGACACAACAGATTCCGAACATTGACAAGACTGTAAGAGAAAAAAAGTAAGTGCAAAATCTTACGCTTCATTTCCTAAGACTAAAACAAAAAGTGGAATATAAAATTGAGTAGCGTTTGCAAGCGTTAATTATCCAGTTGAGCCCTACCTATTACCTATTAAAATATATTTTAACCTCTTGATAGAAATTAAAACTTTAACATACAACATTGCCGTTATCATTCGTTTAGAATCCGTTGCGCGACTTTGGAGGAATTAATATTCCCATTGCTTGCACTGGTGACTGCTTGACAATGTGACATTTTGTCCCTGTCACCGTTCTTACGAAGCATTGCAGTTGGATTGCACTTGGAAACTTGACAATTAGGTGAATACCATAGAAAAGATAAGAGCAGCGCAGACGTACAGTAATATCGAGTACGATGACAAATAATCACCAGTTAGCGCAAGCCCTTAGCTAGTGTCAACTAAGTTATGTGGGGCTCTCTTCCGGAATGGTGGCTAGTAAAAATATAGAGGCGTATCCACTTAAACCTTCCGATGTCCCTCTATCGCATGTAAGCAATATGCGAAAACCACTTGAAGACTTTTTCCACGTGGACCCGACTGGGAATCGAACCCGGGCCTCAGAGGCGCTACCTTGAAACCAGCGTGTGAACCACTAGCCGGAGGGCGTCAACTACAGATGTGTTATTTATTCAAGATAATCAAATCAAATAACCAACAGTATTGAAAGTACATTACGTTTAAAACTTTGGTTATAATATTTATTTAGACACTAAATTATCCTTATAATGAGAAATTGATTTGGCTGTAATCACAATAGGGATGATGACTAATTTTTGTTTGTTTGTCCGTAGAGTGTTAAAAAATATTTAACACGTATTTTTTTATTTTTTTCGTAATCATAAAATTACGGCGTTACATTGAGTTGAAATTTCCCATGACGTCACGTTAGAGTACGTTTTCTACTCAACTGTGACGTAGCGAGCCCCCACTCCTCAATTTTAATGCCTGTTATCTAAGCTATTACTTGTTAATTTGAAGTAAAAAAATACGTATCTAATATTTTTCTATTATCTGACTGACGGACTAAATAGAATTGCATTTTTTGTACCCAGTCATAATCCCTATTTAGACCATCATAGTATTTTCAGAATTTGATATTAAAAATGTATCTTTTAAACGAATACTATTTATCCTGATATTATTGGGACTGTTATGATTTATTTGTATTTGTTACTAGCTTTCTGCCAGCGGCTTCGCCTTCCTTTTAAATCATGAAAAAAAACCGCATCAAAATCTGTTGCGTAGTTTTTAAGATTTTATCATACATAATAATATGGGGACAGAGAAAGCGCCGATCACTATTTGTTTTATACTATATAGTGATTGGCACCTAGGTTCATAGCATTCGTACGAGACTCTTTGAAAACTTCCACCTTTTTTTCATTAAAAAGTATTTTATTTTCTTATTTCGTAATATTAGTAATTTATACTTACTTTTATACCTTTATCTTCCTTTTCTCCTTCTTCTGTAAATAAAATATCTCATTACAGTTATATAAATTACGTAAATATATATTTTATAAAATGATTTATGATATAAACATTTACCTTCACTTAACGAAAACTGAAAACATAAAAATAAACATCAATAAAGGTGTATACGAAATTTGGATTATTATTAATTTTTAGTGAAGTACACTGCAAATAAGCCAGACAAGCAAATTCCATTAGTTTTCTTTTAATTTGAAGGCTCTCATCTTAAATTCTTGAGTATATTCAATAATAGAATTACAAATGTTAAAACGAAATGCTTTTAACTATTTAATACTTTTCATTTGTTGAAAATTCTTAGACGTATTTGGTTTATGGTTTTGGACGAATTCAAGAATTTAAAAAGAGATAATAAAAATGTCTATAAATATCAGTTTGTTTAGAATATTATTGGAATAAGAACTGGAAAAAGCAATATTAATAAATAAGAGCATTGACGATAGATTATAAATATCATTGAAAACTCAAAGCACAATTACTACATTGACATCTAATTAAAATCAAACAGTATATTAACAATTAGGAATCGTATTTTGAGGAAAATTGCAAATGTCAAAAATCTCATAAAACTGAATCAGACTTTAATATTATTAATCAAAAGTTATTTATGAATATTATTATAAAGTTATATTAAAAATACATTTCCACTTACATCTTCATCGGAGTCATAATCTTGCTACGGAAGAAATTAAGAGTGTTAATACAAGGAAAGCAACGATAAAGAATAGTAGTTGTTCAATATAAATGTAGAGGCTTATTAAAAGCACCGTTAAATGAAGCGACGAAGGAGAAAATTTTAGTTTTCACTTAAAATAAGATCGCCATTCCGATGGCGTAGTGTTCTAGAAAATTAAATACGAAATGTTCCTTTCATATTGTCTGTGAATCTTAGTGTTTTAAATAAAATTCTCCTTCCTCTATTATAAACAAAATTGGATGGTTTATTGTAATAGTTTTAATAAGACACCGTCATAATAGTGATAATTAATAGAACTTATAGGCTTATAAGTCTCAGAGCTACACCTTATTAGGATGCCATGACAGATTCACCAAATAAAAAATGTCAAATTGTGTTACAATTCAAATTTCTCGCTTACTTGGTGACGGCTTGGCAGAAATGCCAGTTTCGTATCACCATCATTATAGAAACTATCAAGCCTTGCAAAAAATGTTTCCGTATCACTGATATCTTAATAGGCCGCCAGCTGCGATACCAGCTGTCATACTGATCTGCATCCGCTTTGGCGACTAGTTTTGGCATCTTATAGACTCCAAGGGTAGCAACGAAAGCGCAGATAACTTCGTCGCTATGGTATACAATAAATTATAAGCTCTTAAAAATATAAGAGACTCTTTTCGCAACCAATTTCGTTCATAAATTGAAAATAAACATCTAGCAACAACTCAAGCAGTTGTTGCTAGATGTTTATTTTCAAATATGTGTGCTAGCATACAATCTGTGTATTAATAGTGAACAATACTTATATAAATAAATAATAATAATATGAAAAAAGTAATTAAAATTGCAGCAGAATTATTTTATCCATTTTTGACCCCAATTTTATTTTAGCCAAATAGATTTCTGAATAGAGTTTCTTTCATTAGGCCATTAAGATGTAGCTCATACGTATTACTTAAAAGTTTATATTTAAACCAAAATGGAACCCTAATGTATTTGAAACCAATTTTTGAAATAGCAACCAAGTAAATTATATGATAGTTTAAAACAAAATCGCTTCCCATTGTCTGTACGCTGAGATCTGAGCTGAGAAACAGACTTTAAATCAGTTTTCATCAATAAACTATTACACTACCTCGACGTGATTCGCTAATGCCTTCTAGATGTCGAGCATCAAAATCAAAGTTATATATTTGCATTTGTTACTAACCTAGTGTGAGAAACTCTATGCATATTCTTAGTAAAACAAATAGCCAGAAAATTAAACTTCCCCGATATTTATTTTTTCTAGTAGCTATAGTATGTTATTTGAGAATAACGAAACATTGATTGCTGAAGCGTACGTTTAAATTTTTTTAGAATGAGAGATAACTATATATAAAAAATACTAACGCTAGATGGTAATTTGAAATCCTGTAACATAATTGTAATGTTAAATTAATACAAATCTTAAAAACATCTTAAAAAATATGTAGGCTCGCGCATGCGCTCGCTCAGTTAAAAAGCAGGATTTTACCTGGGTTAAAAAAAATCTTATTGGTCCTATAATCAGATATTAAAAAAGTGGCCTAGATAATAGTCGTTAAAGGGTCCTCGCTTCGTCGCCACTACATAGAAAATGTACAAAGCTGTGACATTTCAACTTAACGTATCGCCTTAATTTATCGATTACGCAAAAAATAATATATATATATTATATTCTTTAATAACCCACTCAACGCGACGGATAGACAATACAATTATTAGTCATCATCTCTATCAAAGGAATATACAATTATTTGGACAATGAAATATGTTTTTTATTGTGTACTATTTATTGACTGTGTACTTCGTTTGCCTAAAACCAAGAAAGTATACATTTGCATAAACTTTGTAATTTAGCTAGCGAAAACTAGAAAAAAACTTTCTTTATGTTTTACTACTTTCTTATAATGCCAATGGGTATGCAGTTAAAAGAGCCACAATTAATTTATAACCGACTTTAAGATCGAAAAGGAGTTTGTCCACGGATTTCATCAGTCACTTTTTCTAATCTTGAAGTCGGTTTTTTGAAAAAGTTGATTTTGCTTTTTCGATCAACTTGGCGGGGCACTCACGTGAAATTTCTTGGTAAAAAGTGATTCAAATATTTTATATTAAATTATTAATACAGTACGGCATCATAAATTTAAAACATGGATCACACACACACTTACATTTTTAACACATAGTGTGTCACTAATAGTTGAGTCTGATACGTCATAGTAAAATTTAATTTCCTTGACACCACCCTGAAACATAAAAAATAAAAAATATCATCGTAGTCGGCATTTTAATGTTTCAACAGCTGAGACACAGGTCTTCCCTGCGAAATGGATCGAATCGAATGACAAAAGGAGAATGAGCCATGCCTATGGGTTTAGTGCTGACATTCACCGGTAACACGGCTTAACGTGGCATCCGAAGCACGGAGTTAAATTTTGGTCACCCATCCTATTACCGGCCCTTGAGACCATTGCTTAACATTGTATACCGAACGATCTAGTTATTGCTTGTCAACTTGTCAGTTGTTCATAAGTTGTTTTCATTGAATTTGTAGCTTTCTTCGAGCGTGCATTTAAGTAGTAGTAGTTACTTAATGCTAGTCTATAGGCCACGATACAGTATACTTTGTAAAATAATTTTCTGTTCACCAACGCTGCATTGTTCGGCTCGGAGATTAAAAATATGACGAGAGTCAGTAATCTTTTGTAAGGAGATGGAGCGAGATTTTTAATGAAACTGTAGCTCGAAAAGATTCGCTTGGCATCGACACGGAATTTACGAGATTGAATTTTTTTTTTGCGTTGACGTTAACTATACTTGTCGAAACCAGTAACGCGAGCAGTTTTCAAGTTTAAGAGCAGTTTTTTTTTGTGAGATAGTTTTTATGTCTTAAGACTCAGTTTTGGTCATTTTAATTACATGTCATCACAGCTGCCAACATTGGTTTTGCCAAAATGTAATTTCAAAAACCGTTCACGGTAAAATAATATATTCCTTTAAATGCCTTAAAGTGCCCAATAGCCAAAACCGGGTCTTCTGCCATATATACCTGCAACGTGTCTAGAGGATTGGAAACCAACCAAAAAGATGCAGTTTATAATCAGGTCATGATTTCATCGATCCCACTGCTGGAATTCAGGTCTCTCTCAATGAAATCGACTCAAATAGAGCAAAAGCGCCATGACCCTTCACACGGGTCCTGTGCGGATTTGTGGATGTTAACAACGCCAGATGCAGCCGTGACCAATGACTAAGCGTGCTTTTTGAAACACAGAAAAGCTTGAGATTATAAATTCTCGGTCACTTGGTCGCGATAATAACTAATAAATACTTGGTCGAGATAATCACTACTTGGTCTAGAAATGGCGCTCGCGTTAACTCACTTAACTTTCGCCGTCGAGCTCTAAGAAAATAATAATAAGATATAACAATAATACAATCATTATGAAAAGGAAAACAATGGAAAGTAAGATTTTTTCATCGCGCGCACGTGCGAATATTGCTAAAATATTAATGAAACAATTTGATTCACCGCTAATAAAAAGTAAACTTTATTTTCTGATTTCATCAAAATCACAAATGAAAGCACATTTATTCTGAAGTCTTTCCACTGAACTAATTCTGTTCAGTTCTAGGTTTTATTAATCGGCTTAAAACGTTACAAGTTCGGTCGTTAAATACATTGAGTTTACTCGAACAGGGTAGGCGGCGTTGAAATAACCCCATAATCGAATAAAGTTAGTTTCGATAATTTCTTGCCACAATGTGCCTTATTTTAATGAATCCCTGAAATTAAGAGCTGTTGGAAACGCCATGATCTTGGAACAATTAACTTCGTAGCAATTCCGTAGATAACTATTATACTAATAATATCTTTATTCTAATGTTAATAACTATTAAAGTTTAAAAAAATAACATAAATCTAAAGATTTCAATAATGTTATTTTACCTTTTTAAAATTATATTCTATTTCTATGCTGATTATAATGTCTCACGATGAGTGTAAGTTAAAGATGATTGAAGTCAAAAATATATTTTTGTAGGTTTGCGATCGGCAACCTGTTATAATAATGGGTACGTTACATTAAGATAATTTATTTAACATACTTACGCTGTTTCTTTAAACTGTCAAGGACACTATTATACGGTACGATCCGTCGTTACGATAGATCTGAAGAAAATCGTTACAATCCATCACGTCATATTGCCCTATGAAACAATTGGTCGTTTCGGTCAGTGATCATACTGTCAAATTTATAAACCTTAACGCGTTATAAGAGTAGAATTCAATACATAGAAGAAATTTGAATTATTCCATGCGGGTAACCGTGTATATGTCGATCATCGATCGATCCATACACCTTCGTTCTAGCATTAATTACGATATTCATGGCATATTTGGTCTCTGTTATCGCATTCGATCAAGTTCGTTTACGATTAAGCCATACACCATCAATTCATCGTCGATCTAACTCATACGACGATTTGTAATGACAGATTGTATCATATATGGGGCCCTTTAGACGTACGCTAGAATGATCCAAAACATATATATTTTTATAAAGAAAAAGTAGTGTAATTTTATTCTTTTAAGATATATAATTTCAAATTAGAAATATTGTCTTACCAGCGACTTCACGGGTATTTACACGGTGACTTTTATCCCGAGGGAACGATTAAGTAGAACAGAAAGTACTCTGTTATGTTATTCGGGTTTAGAATTCTCCATATACTTAACTACAGCAAAATCGGTTAAGAAGTTATTTAATGAACATGTAATAAACATATATATATATTTTTTTCAAATAGATAATGTTTATGTGGTGAACTATTTTGATTGCAATTTTTAAACCGCACGTTTTAAAAAGCATTTACACAAAACCAAATTTGGTTCTATTTCTTACTTAATAAAATTAAAGACTGATAATTTTACGTCCAATAAAAAGTTGAAGTACTAGAAAGGAATCAATAGCCATAAGAAAAATATAAAAAAAAAAACATTCAAGCGTAAAAAAGGAACAGTCCTTTCTCAGTTACTTTCACTATCGTAACACCAAAACTTATCTTAAAGTTATTTATAATAGTAACAACGTTTTATCATATTATAGACGGTGAATATATAATGCTTCATTTCACAATTAGACAAGTCGCTCCGAGGTTATTATTACTTATACAGAATAAGCAACGCTTCACAAACTGTAGGTACATACTAATAACAATGTCTCACCATAAGTTTGTTGTGGTTAATCGTGTTTGGTTCAATTAAGCCGAAGGAAACTAAGTTATTGATGAATCTATGATAACTTTAGGAAGATTGAATATTAATCATAGTTGGCGGGATCTTGACAACCTACGGGAAGGCAATTTTACCGGTTCACTATAAGATAAAGCTATTGCTTGACCTAAGAGGTTAGAAGGCACTATCTTAAAATTTACCTTAATTTTGCCTTCGGTCTATTCAATATAGAAAATAATCCATTCACATGTAAGCTTCCCATTATTATCATAGTAAATTGCTCGGCTGCTCTGTAAAAACAATTCGTGGAACTCAACGTCGACAACGCTGTTACAACATACAGATTTAATCATATAGAAACTTACTTAAAAGGTAATAAGGGTGTTATTTGTTTAAACCTTTATGGTGTGATGGCGCTGTGCTCGAAGTTGTTCGAGGTTGATATTACGAGATATAAAAAGGTTTTATTTATGTTTCCGTTAGGATGAAAAAAATGAAAATCCGTCAATAATTCGCGTAGAAATACATAACCGTCGAATATGGAATGTCCTCCTTTTCGATTTTAAACTCTGCTGAAAATAGGTTACATGTATATTCTTTCTAAAATAAAAAGTAATGATTATGTATGACTAAATGGGTGTTGTTTTAATACGTCTACAATCAAAACGAACAGACTGACAATGGGCACATCATGAACGCATTTGAATTTCATATTCCATACTCAATTCATAACACGAGACGTGTGGAAGAAGGCAAATTGAGTTTTATTACAAGCGCTTTCGTGTTTGACCGAGAAAAAAAAATTGCAAAGAAAAATTGAGTATACGAATGAAGCTTGCATTGAATATAAACCAACCTCAAATGAATACAAAGCGCAGCGCACGAAAATCCTATTCAAATTTCACATTTTTATTGTGAAAAAAAAAATACGAGGCCAAGCAAGAGAGAATTATAAGGCCGCCCCCTTGCCGGAATATTTCTAGGAGGCGGCTAATTTGTAAGTGAGCTTCCAGGACCGTAAATTTCACGCGTGAAGTTGTAAACTTTTACAAAAAGTACTGCAATATATTCTGGAGATACATCACCTGCTCTGACGTTTGAATACCTCCCGTTCTCAAATGTTGCCCGTTACGATTTACCTTGTACCGTTTGTGGATATTAAGGCTGAGCGTTAAATTTAAAGATTAACCCTATGTATAGTACTAGTTATTTTTCCGCGAATTTATATCCTATGACACCCACGTATGATGCATCTTCCCAGGTGAAAGAATTTAAAAAATATGTCCAGTAGTTTTAGAGCCAACAAACAAACATACAATCAAATCTTTATAATTTCAGTATAGATAACTAGTATTAAAGTTTTGTAGGTTTAGGAATTTCTTCCTTTTTACACAAAAACTGAAAACAACAGAACTGATTATTTTATATAGAATAATTCTAAGCCAGGATACTATATACACTATTTTCAATCTATTAAAAGAAAATATTAATTACTCGCAAACATTTGAGATTATTATAAAAGCATTGCATATAGCTTATGGCTACAAAGAAATTGAAATATTTATAAAATTTCTCTATAAAGGAGTATAATTCCGAGAAGACATTGAAATTGTTGAAATGGTACAAAAATTTTTACACACCGAAAAAAATATCCTGTTTTTAGACGTTATCTCGTTACAAAACTAATTAAAAAATAGTAATTTTTCGGTGTACGCACCCTCTTAAGTACACCCGTTTTTTTTAGAATTGGAAGCTTTTCGCGGCACGTTCACCTCTTTGTGAATTTGTTTTTACAGTGGACAAAAGAGATATATTTACATATGGAAACGAGCCGCTTTGCATAATGTAATTTTGGTAATTATTCATTTTTAACCTCATTAGGGTAGCTGAAATTACAACGGCTCGAAATTTTAGAATACCAAGAAGGCTGTAAATAATAAGTTACAAATAAGTATTAATGAATAAACTAAGAATTCAAACTGTAATTATTTACGTATTTAAGCACTGTTA